GCATTCTTCACCTACACTTTGGAAGAGCCACCAAGCACAACAAATACGTGCCTGTTCCTCCACACTAGAAAATCCAAAATACCAAACAAGCCTTGTGCTACCCGCTTGATCATGATCAAGTCTCTACGACCCTTGCATCAAACACAAATTTTCTTTATACATTTTGGAGATCGAATCAGAGGATTCAATACAGAGATTGTAACCCTAAATTTCATAAATACAAATATTATTTTGTACACGTGTTCTTGTCTCATTTGTCACAGGAAATTCGTGTTTACAAATTTGGCACGCCCAGTGGGACCATCTCTACCTCTCATCTCTTTTTCCAGTTCCAAAATCAACCAACACACCGAACACGATGGCCTCTAAGAAGATTCAAACCGTTCCTGTGGCGAAAGGGAAAAGCGTGAGCGCCTCCTTCTCAAGCGGAGATTCTGCTGGGGTCATCACCCGGAGCAAGGCCAAGGCGATATCCACAATTCCACAGGTCACTTCCATACCGACTCAAGCCAAGGCGAAAGACGTGAACCGAAGGCGTGAACTGGTTATCAATCTGGCCTCTTTAGGGGCGAAGAAGAATACCTCCCGGGTGGATGAGAGAAACTCTCGGAATGAAGAAATGAGTTTTTCGGGCTCGAAGAATTCAAGAGAACGTTCCCTCTCGCCTGCTTCAGACGCTGACTCGAGCACAGGTTCATACCATGGATCCCCGCCTGACGACCAACAGAAGAAGATTGCCTCGGCGTCCATAGGTGAGTCTTATTCTATGGACATGCCGGTTATGGTGACAGGAGCAATGTCTATTGAAGAACAGCTGGCCCATATGAGCGAAGCGGTCACGAAATTAACGAAGATGGTCGAAGAGAAGGATGCGCAGATTGCTTCTCTCATCAACAAGTGGGAAGCACATCAGGATAAGGAGCCTGGTCAAGACGCGAACAAGAAAGGACCACATCATGAGGCTGAATCCAGCGAGAAAGGATTGGGTCATGAAACAGAGTCGAGTGAGAAGTCGCACGAAATAATTGACACCGCCTCGGTGGGTTCTTTGTCAGTCCAACAACTTCAGGACATGATCGCGAACACCATCAGAGTTCAATACGGAGCACCTTCCCGAGACACGCT